AAGATCCAGCTCTGATTCAGAGTATGCCCCAAGATGAGACCGATAGGCTGCAGACTCTTCTCGGGTGACCTGGGCAACCTTGAGGTGTTAACAAAGGGTCACTTGGGGGAGTGGTGAGTATCCAGCCCCCCTCGGTCCACTAGGACAGCACGCAGGGACGGTGGTCTGGGGCTAACAGACCTTAATTGGAGCCCAGTCTTTTACGGGTGATTAGCACCTTCCACGCAACAGCACATTTGCACCAACACCCCCACACACTGACTCTGTTCTTCTTGGTTCCTGGAAATCATCGATTCTTGTCCTTTTGGCAAGCCTTGATCTCATCGATTCCACTTGTTCCTTCTTCCGGACTACTCAAATGGATTCGACTTGTTCCCTCTGCCAGACTTCTCAAATATACGACCCGGAATAGTTTTCTTGTTTTGATATTCTTCCTGATTCAAAAATCAAATCGATTTCTGCGGTAGTTTTTTTCAACTAAAAATACAACACTTGAAAAAAATCTAATCGAGTTCTGAGGTAGTTTATTAACAAAAAAACTTTACTTTTCAGATAACCCAAAATCTAATCGGCTTCTGCTGTCATTTTTCAACTAAACATTCAACTTTTTAGATTGCCAAACCTTAAATAAAATGGATTCGACTTGTTCCTTCTGCCGGACTTCTCGAATATATAATTCGGAATAGTTCTCTTGTTTTTATATTCTTCCTGATTCAAAAATCTAATCGATGCCGGCGGTAGTATTTTCAACTAAAAATACAACACTTTGGCAAAAAATCTAATCAAGTTCTGCGGTAGTTTATCAACAAAAAATTTACTTTTCAGATAACCCAAAATCTAATCGGCCTCTCCTGCCATTTTTCAAATAAACATTTAACTTCTCAGATTGCCAAACCTTAAATAAAAAGTCTAAACAGCCTTTAAAAGCACAATTAAAAATCTTACCTTAAAAATACCCCCATCCACTAATGTCGGACACAATGCTTCAATAAGGACCAGAAAACCAGACCCCAACCATCCAATTGGGGCTCTGAACAAACCCATTTAGCAATTGACAATAAGACACTCGCCTGGGACTGATCACCTAAGGCGGGCCGCCTCAGAGGAGGGTGTCTAGTGTTGAAAGAGCCGAAACACCCGATGAATCTGAGGTACATTACTGAAGAAGTGTCTTACAAATTTCCCTCACATAGACATGCTTGAGGGAGTAGGAAAAATAATGGCAAAGCCTACCTACCAAAATCAAAACCGATAGATCAAACAAACGACAAGGACCTTGTCACTAAAAAGATCTAAATCTAGCCCCGAACCAACACTTACCCTAACCCTACCATTCGTAGAACTATGGACCTGAAACCTAGCCTTCCCAAACCTAGTGACCAATGCCTAGACAGGCTAATCTCTATCTAAAAAAAGCAAATAAGAATATAGTTTTACATGCAAACCATCGGACCTCAAATCTTCCTCCACTTCAAACAGTACTCGCTGACGGAACGTGATGCTGGATCAGGTTGTACTTTTCCAAAACCTAACCCTAATCCATAACTTCTCACCCAGTTCCCCATACTTCCTATTTTCAGGTCAAAATGACGCTCTCCACTCAAAACTATTCAGTTTTGCTGAAAAAAAAAAACTTTGCCCTCAGACATGACACACAAGCCCTCAGAAACACACACACTACAACATAGTCTTACACACTAATGAGATCAATTCATAACAGTTGCAAAAACCTTCTTTTGGCAACCAGGTATAATTTTACAGCTCAGTGTCTATTACAGTATACAACATAATTTGAGCAGATACATGTTACAGTAAATATAGCAGATACAGTGAAATTCAACAATAAGCTTTACAGTAAGAAAATATTATTTTCATTACACTGCTGTAAAGAGATCTTACAGTACAGTAGATGAAAAGCACTAGAAAGGAAAAGTCCAAATACCAAAGAATTGTATATGAACACACAACAGAATGTGTCATCTCTTAGTTCTGCAAAAATACAGTACATGTAAGAAGTACTTGTACAACAAATCAGTTCAGCAGTTATGAGTTTGAGGGTGTACAACTTTGCTTCAGTATTTACTGTACATATATAAGCCTGTAGATGAGCCTGTAGGCCAGCTGTCCTCAAGCACAAGAACATGATCAACTACAGCGGTGTGTATTTCATCAGGAATAAATGTACTTTTACCCCGTCCCCTTCATTTTTATTTTCCCCTCCTCTTCCTCTTTGTCTCCCACTAGTAGGATTCATTTCCCAAATCACATAATCAGCTGTGCTCCTTTTTTTATCATCCTGAGATTCTGATCGGTGTGTCATCAGTTTTGCTACTGAATGTTCACACATGGATAAATGTGTGCTATTTGTGTTCATTTTGTGATTCTTGAGGTAGTTATATTGTGTGTTTGTGTTTTCTAAATGAGAACATGGTTAAACCTGTGCAAAATGATGCCGTTCTTGTGTAGAGTTTTGCAGAAAAAACTGAGCAAACTGGAGCGTGTGTGAAAAAAGGTGAAATGTGTTAAAAGTTTTGAGAAACGTGTCTTTGTTTCAAGAACTGTTTGAATGGTTTGGAAAATTGTGCCAAACGAATCAGTTATAGTGTGTTAGCAATCGAGAAAAACTGTAAGCCAAATACACGCTGAAAAGAATAATTCTGGACATGACTTTATAAGCAATCTCTAATGAAACTGGTCCGGTTTTCTCTGTAGCTGTTTTGAACTTAAGCTACTGTTTGAAGGCATTCGTTTACTGGATCCTTGGACTGAAAAGTTTACAGGAGTTTACTGTTTTTTAAGGTATTGTTTTCATTATAATGTACTGATTCAAATTAGTAGTCAATAATTAAATATTATTTTATCACTCTTCGCGCATCCCCTGACATGCACTCACGCCCCAGATTGACTCCGCTTGCATTGACGTGATTTGTCGAGATGAGAGGCGGGCGCAGGTGCAGGCGCAGGCGCAATCATCAATCAAAGTTAAAGGGAAGCCGGCGCATCCTGACCGCATCATTGTCTTTACTGGGTGTGTTTAGGGAATATTGGCATTTATTTACATGTGATTTGATTAGCTAGTCATGGTGGACTGTCATGATTTTGGCTAATGCAGGACACTAATGAATGATGCATATCAGAGGGGATTTAGAAGTGGGTATACGTAAAGCCGACTGATAAAGAAGTGGGTATACGCCGTATACCTGCGTATACCCTCCACTACATCACTGGCACTTTTAACAATACAGATTGTGTCAAAGCAACTTTACAGCATTAAATAGGAAAATAGCTGTGCAACTGTGACTGAAAGAAAATTTCACAACTTTAATTAGTTGATAAATGCGTTAGGGTCATTACGATTGTCTTTACAATGTGGTATTCTGTTTAAAATGCTGAAATTCATCAGATTTTCATCTGCCATTCTGGCAATTGTTCATACATTCAGGTAACCCTAACCCTTGTCAATGATTTTGCCCATGATATTAGCTGTTATCTCCAGCAGATGGCGGTAATGCACTCTATATAGCACAGGTGTCAAACGCAGTTCCTGGAGGGCTGCAGCATTTAGATTGTGGCTAGAAGGGATACAGCTGTGGCCAGAAACTAACAATAAATTACATTTTCTACCTATTAGATTGTGTTTTATTAACATCTACACCTACCCCAACCCTAAACCTACCCCTTACAGTAATGTAAAAACAGTAATACATTTTGTACAGTGTGACAAAAATAACACTATATTGATGTGTGCATGCCCAGTAGCCTCAACTGTCTCCCTTCTAGTCTTAACGCTGAGTTTAGTTCCAACACACAAACCATGTAGTTTTCAAATAAGCCTGAAGGATGTGATTAGTTGGATCAGGTGCGTTTAATTAGGGTTGAATCTAAACTCTACAGGGCTATGGCCCTTCAGGAACTGAGTTTGACACCCCTGCTATATAGTATGGGATCTGCCATTATGTAACTTTAAGCTCTGTCTTATGAAAATTAAAACACACTATTGTACCAGGACAAGAAAAATATGAATTAAACACTTCTGTAATGTTAAACTACTATTATACATGGGGTTTTGTTTTTTGTTTACATGTTTTTTTTTTTTTTTTGCGTTCTGTGTCCATCTGAAGCCCAGCTAACAAAAAAAATATTCTATGGAGGTGTTCCTAACATTCCCATATAAAAATATAAAAATATAAGTTTTAAATGTTGTTTTAAAAAATATTTTTGGTTATGCGGGAACATTCCATTTTATAATTTTCCAAGCATTATGAAAATTATGACTTTGAAGGTTTTTTTAAATGTTCTGAAACAAGTAGTAAGATTTTTTTTTAATAGATGAATGTCAATTTAAAACTGATGTTCTTTTACTTCATTAGTTTGTTTCAGTGTATTTAAGCTCTGTATTGATTTCAGTTCTTTGTCAGTTGTCATCATGTTTAGCTTAGTTCATTCTGTTTAAATTTTTTGTCAAGTCATCTATATTTATACAGGGATTTTAACAATATTGATTGTGTCAAAGCAACTGTACAGCATTAATTAGGAAAATAGTGTGTCAATAATGCAAAATGACAATAGTAAACACTCAATTTTCAGTTAAAGGCAGTTCATCATTGAATTCAGTGATGTCATCAACCAGCTCATTCAGTTTAAATAGTATCTGTGCAATCAAGTCGACGATATCGCTGGAAATGAAGTGTCCCCAACTAAGCAAGCCAGAGGAACCAAAACTCCATCGGTGACAGAAGCCCTGTGTTCCTGTGGTCTTGTCCCGCTGGCCGTCTAGGAGACAAGGTCTTCACTGGGGATCTGTCTCTGGAGCTCATCTAGTTGTCCTGATCTCCGCTGACATTCAGGGCTGTAGAGGTTTTGTGGAAATAAAGTCTAGCTGCTACATTTAGTTTCTTTTTATTCATCTTAATTTTAAACAAACTGTGACAATAATTCAAAATGAACACAGGTTTAGTTAACTGAGTCAAAGAAACAAGGCATAATCCACACAGACAAGATGCAAATAAACATCTGATTACTTTTCACTGTAGGCATGATCAAGTACACTTGATTTCCGTCTCCAAACATTCACTTCTTGAAAGCTTTGAGTCTGCCTTTGTTTTACCATAAGCGAAAGGCCTATTTTGGCCTATTTCTTCTCACCATAACTAATATAAAAAAAACTGCAGTAAAATAAATTAAACAGACTGTGATGACTAGATGTACATAAATATATACATGTCTGGCTGTGAATATATGCTGTTTCGCTGGTGAACCAGAGCTGTCTCTCATGGACAAAAGCTCTGATCCAGCATTCTTCTATTTCCTGCAAGTTTAATGACTTCTTTTTCTCATTTTCTCACTTGAAAGAAGTCAGTACGACACCAACTGTCAGCAATAAGGTCTGACCACCATTCCTGATCATTAACATCTTCAGTCTCATCATCTGCCTCGTTGAATTCCTGTTTGTGTTACTGTGAACCACAACAGAAAGAGTTTTATCTTGTGATGCAGTTCGTATGTATTGCCAAAATCACATTTTCCTTGAGAGGAACAATAAAGTACCATCACCATCATTACCATCACAAGAAGATATGTTGTTACACTTAGTGATGGGAGAAACAAACCTTTTCAAAGCTTCAAATCAATTTAACCAAATGCTTCACAAAATGGTTCACTGTTTCAAAGTGCTTGAAACACCACTCTAGTGATGCCTGATGATCAAAAGTGTGTAAATGCAACAAAAACTCAGGCTAAAACATGCATAAAAACAACTTTTAAAAGCCCATTGCAAATGTTTTATTGAAAGTATAAACATTAAATGCAATTTAAAAATACCATTAAACATGAAGTGTCTGTATAATATGTGGTTTTTTAAATATTTCATATTAATTTGCAGGGCTTGTTTTGTTGTTTTATGGCGAGCTTGTAAATAGAGACCAGTACGAGACTATTAACTAATTCTCATCCTTTTAATTACACAAATGTCTCATTAAAAAGTCTACAATTTGATTAAACTAATCCAAGATCAGGTAAAAACCATAGACGCTGGTACATTGGTTCGCCTCTAGGAGGCGAGCACAATGAACTTGCATGATTCACAGGTTTATTGATATCGCACCCCAATGGCAAACCATTGACATTTCTAAACATTTCGAAAGAGCTACGATGTAATGAAGCGTCATTTACTGAAGTCACGTGACTTAGGCAGTTTGATAAGTGCTCCGACCCACTATTTCGAAACAATTGATTCACAAAAGTTTCAAAGCTTCATGAAGCAGTGCTTCAAAAAAAATTTTTTTTTAAATAGCACCCTTCACTAGTTACACTCAAATGCGCACCAATGTATTAGCACTGTGTGAGTTCAAAAGTTAAAAGGTACTGAATATTTCACTGCATTTTGCATCACTACAACAAAACTACAGTGGCAATTAAAGGCAGGGTAGGTGATATGGTTCAAAAACATGTTTTGTTATGGTGGTTGAAAGTCTCTTCACATCCTGATTGCAAATACTAAGTTAA